CTTTTTACACAGACATGGTATATATATATATATAAAGTTAATATGTGTATTTTAGTAAGATTTTCTACTTTTTAATCTTTAATTGATTTATCTTGTTTCGTTTCAGAAGGAATTGAAGCTCGTTCAAATTATTCCAGACAGCAGAAATATTCTCAAATCCGATCTACAAATTGTACAGAAGATGATATCTCAATTACTGTAAGTGCTCTTATCCTTAAAGTAACCCTTCTTTTAAACAATCTGCATGAAACAAATAGGATTTAAATAATGAAACAAAAATTAAATTTAACTTTTAGGGTAAGATTATCCTAAAACTATGGTTTTGTATACTTTTATGTTTGATTGTCATATCTTTTTATACAATTTCGTATCATTTTTTACTCCCGTAGATCAATACCCCCCCCCCATGAATTTTTAGTTGAAACACTTCCCGTCTGTTACAACTTATGAATTGTTGAAATCCAAAAAATATAGAAAATTTCTTCTTTTTTCAATTAAAAAGATATCGCGAATATGACATCAAATATATTTCACGTCCGAAACTCTTATTATATTTTATAACTGTCGTTAAGCAGCCAGACCAATTTCGGGTTTACCACTACTAACGTTCAACTTCGTAGCCTTGTAGCGTTGAACCCAATCTAGAAGTCAAGAGAATTTCAGGATAAAGTATTGGAAAAAATTTACCTTCGGGGAGTACTTTTTGACGGAACTAACCCGCGTCTGCCCTACATGGAGAGGAAGACCACGAGGACCTCCCACGGTTAGACTAATTGCAAAGGAACTCAATCCCATAATCCGTCTACCGCTGAAGATATTTTACGTCAGCACTGTGATCGGTGCGAGTCAGGTGTGGAATTCGTGTGGATCAGCCATGGAAAGCGAACGCTCTATCCCCCGAGCCACCTCAGCTCGCCATGTGTATGAGACGTTTAACTGTAACTTTTTGTTGCGGGTGAGACAAGTGCAAAATTAGATACCTATTAGATTAATTAGATTTGTTAACGCAATTCTCAGCAGGCAAAAACCTTACATAATAGCTCTCAGAATATATGTATTGGGAGTACAAATTAGTTCGGTCCGTTTTTTTGTGGTCAAAAATGCATTTATTTTAGAGCAAAATGAATGAACAGATTAATCAAAGTATTGTCTATTGCAGGCTACTACTACTTTTTCCCACCTCTCAGGTAATTTTCGAATTCTATCTCGAAAAAATTTCTCGTCTTTTGAGGCGATCCAAGTTAGGAGCCAATTTTCGATTTCTGCGAAAGAAGTGAACTGGTGACCTGCAAAATCATGTTGCATCTTTCGGAACAACCAGTAATCAGAAGGAGCGATGTCCAGTGAATACAGCGGGTGTGGTAAAATATCCCACTTGAGCCTTTCCAAGTAGTTTTTTACGACTTTTGAGACATCAGTCCGACCGTTATTATGCAGAAGAGTAACTTTATCATGTCTTTGCTCGTATTCCGCCCTTTTTTCTCGTAAGGCACGGCTCAAATGAATCAATTGTAGCCTATACCAATCGCCCGTAATGGAATCACCAGTTTGTAGCAGCTCATAGTATACAAAACTATTCACCATTTATCATTCACCATTTACCATTCTTTATTCACCATTAAGCATTCTTGAAACGTCGAAACTATTCCCTACATGATTTATCAGTTGGAGCATTGTCAACATAAACTTCTACAAGCATTGGATGAGCTTCAGCTGCACTTTTCTTCGAATTAAAGCAGAAGCATAAAACCTCCCGCAAATGGTGCTTCTTTACCGAAAAATTTGACATATTCAACAAAGTAAAAAACAGGGTTTTTGTATGAAACTCAAAGTGATGTAAACTGAATATTATTGACAGATGCTTAATCTCTCTGAAACCACCGAAACCAGCTGAGCCATTTTTTAAAAACTGACCGAACTAATTTGTACACCCAATATATAAATTCAGACATTTGTTCAACTTTACGAGATCAGGAAGCGTAAAGATTTTTAGTGCAGATCTTTTTACACAGACATGGCGTCACTTAATAAATTAAAATAATGAGTAAAATTTCGCTCTTTTTTTGTAAAATACGATTTAGTATACACTTTAAAGTTAATATGAGAAATTTTAATGATATTTTTAAAAAAATTAAATTTTTTCGTGTCCTCTTTTGTGTGGAATGAGAGATTCATTCAATCAGGCTTCTGTAGCCGGTGAAAACTGAGAACAGCCAGTATTCACATTAAATCCTCAGCTAGTTTTCGGTACACAAAAATTTTTTTTATAAAGAAAGAGGGGAAAATTTGTTTAATTTTATCTTGTTCATGTACTGTAAAACTGATTCCGTGTAATGAATTTTTTACAGGTAAAGTGTCATCCGAACCGTGTAAGGGATCGTGTCGATTCCTCCTCAAGAAACCGTTCCATGTGCTGTTCTTTCGGCCACTACAATTCCAGCCACCCCCTTTCTTGCGGAATGACCGCAGATCCTACAGAAAATCCTACTTGTATGTTTCACACACATTCTTTCTTTTTTAATTGTCATTCTGAAATTTTATGCTGTGAAAAGTGTTTCAATTAACGAACCTATTTAGTTTGTCAACTGAAGCTTGAAGTAGGTTATTTTTAAAAACATTACCATTTTTAATCAAATGAATAGAATTATAATAATATATAGTAGGGGAGAGTGGGGTCAATTGTAACAGGGTACGATTGTAACAGAGCAAAAATTTCGAGTGTCAGGTTCCAGATTTGGTTCCTAGGTGGCGCACAAGGTGTGTTTAATAAATCTACATGTACACCCCTACTGGCAACCGTTTTTAAGTACTTTTGAAAGAGTTACATCACAAAAGATATTTTCACGCTACGTAAGTATTTTTTTTTAGTATTAGAATATTATATTGTAACAAAGTAATTTTGTTTACACAAATAAAAATTATTAACCGAATATGTAAGTGGACACCTTAATTAACATTTCAATAAAAAATTAATTAACTAGCATGTTTTTAACAAATGAAGCTGAAATGGCGTCTTGGGGACGATTGTAACAATAAGTAAAGGGACGATTGTAACAGCTGAAATTATCTTATGTTTACAAACCATTACTTAACTCTTTAAGAACTACCAATAGTTTCCTATATCATTTATATTATGTTGCATGTGCATTATTTTATTTGTCACCTTTCACAGCATAAATTAAATT